ACCTTATCACAACCAAATATTAAAGAAACAAACTTCTAGGCGGGCACGTTTGCCGATAAAGTGAAGAACTTCTTTGGAATCTTTGGTAACAAGCCACCATCGGCCGTAGAATCGCCATCGCCATGTTATTGCAGTGAGTATAACCGTATTCCCATAAACGATTCAAATAATTCACTTGTCTACGAAGTTCAAACAACAATGGAACAACATTCGCGTTGCTGTGTCATAACATTCGAATAATCATACGAATACATAAACATTCGAACGCATCACTATCGACATCATCATCGTTCTCGCTTAATGAACTGGAAAATTAATGCTTGCGATTGCCTTAAACAATCAGGTTGCGGGATACGAAACGAAGAAAGCCGCATAGTCGGCGGCCAAACGACTCATATAAACGAATTCCCATGGATAGCGAGACTATCGTACCTGAACAAATTTTACTGTGGCGGTACATTAATAAACGACCGGTTTGTCCTCACCGCAGCCCACTGTGTCAAAGGGTAAGTTTAACTGTAAATTAATATCGTATCAATTAAATGCACGGATCAATCGGAATTCCACATAGTAAAATAAGCTACGTTGATCACTTTCTAGCCTAACGTTAACGCTAAACCCCATACCGGGCCCTAAAAGTCACTAACGCGTGTTGCTTTTTAACGACGAGAAGACTGTATTTATTCAGACCACTCGACGTTTTTATTATAATTTACGAACTAAGGAGAAACGATTTTCTAAAAGAAAAAACAAAAACGTGAAACCGGTTATTTCAATCGGCTTGAATAGATTCGATGTTGATAAAACTTGCAATGTGTTTACATAGACTACAGGCAAACGAATCAGATAAACGAATATAATATCAATATATATCAAAAATATATATAAATAATATATATATATATATATATAAAATCAATAAACATTCGATTCCAGTCGAGCGAAGCCTATATTTTATTGTGTTCATCCCGTAAACACTGCGCAATGCATAAAATCCGCAGTTCAACGATCACGCGCATCGACGATTCGCGCCGTTAACAAGTAACAAATAAATCTTGTCTGCGTTGAAAAGCGGGCTTATCAGGCGCGTGAACAGCTGTCGATCGACGTGGATCCGCCGATAAAAACTGATACCGAGCCACGACGCCGAGCGCGCCTTTCGCGAATATCCATTTAAATTGCTAATCACGGTCCTGTTCTCGAAGCGAGCATGGTCAGCTTTTCTAGTCCCGCTTTCAGATTCATGTGGTTCATGATCAAGGTCACCTTCGGAGAGCACGACAGGTGCATCGATAAGGGGGTAGAAACTAGATACGTGGTCCGTGTGCTGATGGGCGAGTTCAGTTTCCTCAATTTCGACAACGACATCGCTTTGCTGCGGCTGAACGAGAGGGTGCCGCTCAGCGACGCCATTAGGCCCATATGTTTGCCGTCCGTGCGAGGTAAAAACTACTTTTCAACTTCTTCTCGCCTCGACGAAATTAGCGAACTGCAGATTTTATGCATTCACGGTGCAGGCAGGCAAGCAAGCAAGCGTTTGAAATTCACAATGGCTCGTCAGAGCCGCGAACCGGAGATCGATGGAATTCTCGAGCTCCCGTTCGCAAAGTAAATCCCTTAACACGTTCCGTGCCGAGCTTTTTTTACTCGAATCTTCACACTTTGATATTTTACTAAAACTTGATGTATTACGTGCAATTATTAATTCTCGTACACATAACAACGTAACAAAAACTTATCAACGCCCATTCTTGCGGTGGAAATTGATTCTTCGGTTCTAAATTTCTTGTAAACAATTTGTTCAGTTCACTAAGTAAACATGCAAGCGTGTACCATCGATGGTACACGTGGCACGGAACGTGTTAACGCCAGAACTATCGAACCAGTCGAAACAATTGGTCTCCGATTTTTCCTCTCGCGGTTTCCGAGACCGCGAAAATGTTTTCCGCGAGAGAAATCTTTCGACAAACAATCTTTTCGTCCAAGCATATATTAGAATTATCATCGATATTATACGTTTCTTGTATGTATATCGTGAGTTTGTTCTCGGTAGTTCTAGCGTTAATAATAACAAACATCTTTGCATTTTTGCTGTTTGTTTTAACAAACTTGTCGCGCGCAATAATAACAACGAGTTAACCTCGCGATTGAAATTTCATACGTAATCTACTATTTTTTTTGCGGAGCATTTTAGATAAATTTAAGTAAAATTTTAGGTAAAATTGTAAATAAATTAGGTGAAGAGAATAATATTTGATTCTGCTGTTATCAAAACGACGCGAAACAATAACTGTCACAGTACAAGCGGTTAACAGAAGCTAATTAATATTATTTTAATATTAATATATAATAATAATATATAATAATAATATATAATAATATATAATATATAATAATATATAATATATAATATATTAATATTATTTTGTTAATACAAAACGTACACTAAATTCTCCCTGATTGACGCACAAGATCGTGCACAAAAATGGACAATCAGCCGCAAGGCTCGAATAATCGTATCTTCTCTTCCCAAATTGTTCATTTTCGCGCACAATCTGAGCGTTAATTAGAGAGAATTTACTGTATAACCTGGAATAAAATTAACCCCTTGCGTTACGATTTCTTTCTACGTTGACTAACACTTCTTTGTACTGAATAATTTATCTAATAGAATAACACGATATCTTTTCTTGCGTGTTTCCGTATTTCATGACTAAGTACATATTGCTTTCGTGCCTAGGGTTTGATAACAGAGGAATTTACAATATTTATGTATTGGACTGTGTATGAAATATGTAACGGCTCTCCCAAGTGTATACGCAAATTCTGGCCGAGTAGATTCGAACCTTTTATGTATAGGTAATGTGTACAGTATTCTCTTGATATTATATACAAGCTGAAACTACGGTATTAACCGCGTTTCAGAGGAACGCTGTGGTTCTCTTCTTGTGTTGTGCTAAAACTGCGAGGAGCGCTACAATTTTACCTAAATTTACCTAAAATTTTACCTGAATTTACCTATTTTCTCTTTACCTAATTTATTTACCATTTTACCTAAAATTTTACCTAAAATTGTATTTGAAATTTTATCTAAATTTACCTAAAATTTTATCTAAAATTTAGTCTAAAATTTTATCTAAAATTTAGTCTAAAATTTTATCTAAAATTTTACCTAAAATTTTATCTAAAATTTTACCTAAATTTACTTAAAATTTTATCTACAATTTTACCTAAATTTACTTAAAATTTTATCTAAAATTTTACCTAAATTGATAGATAAATATACAATTAGTCAAAAAAATCTCCGCACACCTTTCGAAGCGCAATAACATTTTCACAACTGGACTAAATGACTCGAATTTCTTTTAATTATTGAAGGAACTACTTCACACTGTACAATGACTGAAATACCTTTTTTTCTTTAATTCTGCCGTTACTTTGGAATGACAGAAAAGAAATAAAAAGCTCTCGTCTTTTTAACTTCTTTATCCGAGCCGAAAATGTCAAGAATCTTCTTCCGTAGTGTCCTCTATAACTTGTACGCATGCAAACTTCGAAAGCAGCTCTTGCTACGCGAATATCCCGTTGTGCGAAACAAAAGCATAACGCACCGGCGCGGAGGTGGTTGCATCGATTGGTGCCGTTTCTCGCTGCGCAATTCCTTCAATCAGCCAATTATTTAGCGGCCGATTACGTTGCACCATTGCAGCCATAAATTAGTCAACATACGGGTACCGCGGCCGAGCGCAATCGCGCGATAACAGGCGATTTTTCGTAAATCGAGGACTCCCGATTCGCTTCTGTTCGAATCGGAGCTGGATGAACGTGAATATACGCTAACCGAATTGCGTAATCGGCCTCGCACCTGTTACCGATATATTCCGCCGATGAAAAGCGCAAGTGGATCGGTCGGCGTTGACCAGGCAGGCCTGCGTGCATCGTCCCGACTAGATTCGGCCGTTCGTTTCCTTTTTGGTCGTTCTGCAACTGCATACGGGCCGCGCCGTTTATGCTTCCAGATAAGCAGTATGTCGGCACGAAGGCAATCGTGTCCGGCTGGGGCACCTTGCACGAGGATGGGAAACCTTCGTGCCTCCTGCAGGAAGTCGAGGTACCGGTTATGAGCCTTCAGGATTGCCGCAACACCAGCTACAGTCCCCGTATGATTTCCGATAACATGATGTGCGCCGGATACCACGAAGGCAAGAAGGACTCGTGTCAGGTAAACAATTTTATTTCTATTCCTTTCTGCTCTTCCGTCGTTACGGAGTAAAGATTCTTCCTGATTGACGCTCGAGTCGTACACAAAAATGGACAATTTGGCAAGAGGAGGTGCGATTATTTCCAAATTGCTTATTTTTGTTTAGAGAGACAATTTGGGGAGAATTTATTGTATTCTAAATTTTCCGTATACAGTAAAATCTCTTCGATTGTCCTTCAATTTGTGAAGAAAAATGGACAATTTAGGAAGAGGTTGATAATCGGTAACTATAAAATAGGGCCGCGAGATTATTTTATAACCGCATTTAATATATATTATATAATAATAATAATAATAATATAATATATATATTATAATATTATTATTATTATTATTATATTATATATAATATTATAATATATTATAAATATATAATATATAATATATAATAAATATATTATAATATTATTATTACTATAATATATATATTATTATAAAATATTATATATATAATATATATTTAATATATTTAATATATAGTTAATATATATTTATATATATTGATAATATATTTATATATATTATTATATAAATATATATATAGTTAATATATACATTTAATATATTTAATAACCGTGTAAGCTCTTCCCAAATTGTCCATTTTTGTTCACAAGCTGAACAATTGCGGAGAATTTACTGTGTTCAGCGGAGTTCGACTCTCGGCCAGTAATTGTTTTCTCTGGTACAATTTCAGGGAGATAGCGGGGGTCCTCTGATAGCTGAACGCGAAGACAAGAAGTACGAGCTTATAGGTATAGTGTCCTGGGGCAACGGATGCGCCCGGCCAGGATATCCGGGCGTCTACACGAGAGTCACGCGTTACATAGACTGGATCATCTATCACTCGCGAGAGGGTTGTTTCTGCGAGCATAACTGAAATCGGCGTCACCGTGTAACGAAGGCAAAAAACTTCGATGGAATTCCGCTGAAGTATTCGCGGACGAAAATTCCGTTCCGACACGGGCACGATACATAGAATTTTATAACGTAATTGACACAGACTCGAGATTTTTCAACGAAATCATAAGCAATAACAACGACTCCGACGCATTGTCCGATACACACAAGTCTGAAGATTCGAGTGCTCAGATTCCGAACAAATTATAGGAACACCGCTCGCGAAAACTCGCGATAATTTCGAAAACCTACGAATTATCTTTGGAGATCGCGTTGGCATGTCAATTGGTAATCGATCCAATTCAGGTGCTCGCGCGGTCAACCATCGTGGACAAATGTTGCCGTATCGACAAGGCTAGCACTCTAACGAAATATTAAATTCTCCGACGAAAAAACATTTCGAACGCTTCGAACGTGTTCGCGAAGGGTTGTTAGTTTCTACGGAACCTCGATGCTCGCGCGACTAGCTGATACGCGACTGTGCGTGGAAAATACTCAATTATTTCTTTCGTGTACCTTGTTTTTTCCATGTCGCTTACTTCGATTAACCGCTATTAAATAGAACTATGCCGCGCGTGAAACTGTACATTGCTCAACCTATAGATAAGACGCTGTGTACTCCGAAGACCTAAATATTTGTTAAAAACGCGTTGAATAATAAGCAATAAAAAGTCTTATAACATGGATCCACGTCGTAATCATTTACATCCTTCGAATAAACTATTCATTATGCGAGCGCACGAACATCGAAAGCGCTTCGCTGTACAAATTCTCTTCATTTTTATCGATTACTAATTACCGCAATAACGGTCTCACGCTCTGTAAATTAAGAAGGGCTAGTGCAAACAACATTTTGACCGCGAAAAATATCCGCAGATTAGGAACCGCGAATAGAACGATTCTAATATATATATATTAGATATATTATAATATCTAATAATAAGATATAATAATATATCTAATAATAATAATAATAATAATAATAATAATAATAATAATAATAATAATAATAATAATAATAATAATAATAATAATAATAATAATAATAATAATAATAATAATAATAATAATAATAATAATAATAATAATAATAATAATAATAATAATAATAATAATAATAATAATAATAATAATAATAATAATAATAATAATAATAATAATAATAATAATAATAATAATAATAATAATAATAATAATAATAATAATAATAATAATAATAACAATAATAATATAATAATAAGATATATTATAATATCTAATAATAAGATATAATAATAATATATCTAATAATAATAATAATAATAATAATAATAATAACAATAATAATATCTAATAATTAGATATATTATAATATCTAATATATATATTTTAATAGAATAGAACGATTCTAATATATATTGTATATTAGATATATTATAATATCTAATAATAAGATATAATAATAATATATCTAATAATAATAATAATAATAATAATAATAATAACAATAATAATATCTAATAATTAGATATATTATAATATCTAATATATATATATATTCCAATAGAATATAGAATATAGAATATAGAATATAGAATATATATTCTAATATATATATTAGATATATTATAATATCTAATAATAAGATATAATAATAATATATCTAATAATAATAATAATAATAATATCTAATAATTAGATATATTATAATATCTAATAATAAGATATAATAATAATAATAATAATAATAACTATAATAATATCTAATATATATATTCTAATAGAATATAGAATATAGAATATAGAATATATATTTTAATAGAATAGAACGATTCTAATATATATTAGATATATTAGATATATTATAATATCTAATAATAATAATAATAATAATATCTAATATATATATTCTAATATAATCGTTGATACGAAACGTCGCTCTGCTAGTTCGCTTCCCGCCAACCTACATATAACGTGTTCCATTTCCGCGAGTAGATCGATCAACTCGCATACATAGAATCATCTAACAGTACCGGCGAACCGGTTCCCGGTCGTTTAAAGTTCTAACGAAAATAGAACGTGCCGAGGACGTCTTTGGATTAGCGTCCTCGAGAGGAAGCTTCGCTTCGAACTTGCGCGTGGGAAACGCGTGGAGCGGCAAAGAAAAAGCCTTGGGGCCAGAGTTGGATGCGGGCTAGAGTCGATAGTCCCGCTATGCAAACCAGTTGTTTAGCCGAGGACCAGTACCGTCTCAACAGTCGACAGCAAAGCCATGAAGCTACAGGATTTCATCAAGTACCTCCTTTGCATCGTTCTGCTAATTTCGGGATCGGCCCGCTGCGACCGACCCGCCCCTACGGTAAGACGCATCTTTCTTCGTTGCTGCTATACTTGTTTCATCCCCTGCTCTCCGCCTTCGGTTAGGCTCGAACGGAAAAGTGTAGAAACATCCATCGATCGCGGTTTTCAATGCGACGATACGGCGAGCATTTGTTTGAAAAGCACTGTCGAGTCTCTTTCTATGCGGTAGACGAACTGAAAATCACTGAAAAGCGCGCAGAGAACGCATAATTTATGTTCAGAAATTAGGGGTACGCTCTGCCTCTGTGCAACATGTGGTATGCATATTGCACCTATGCAACGGGGTCCGCATGCAATATGTATCGCATAATTTCCAAACCGCGTTTAAAAGGTGCGCGTAAAAGGAGACTCGGCTGCAAACGGTAAAGTTGCTTTTATATTTTAAAAGAGAAACGTACAGTCGCGTTACCTTATAACTTGTCATTTCCGCCGTGCTCGCAACGCTAAAAGATGCAAACGCCTGTTGAATAAGTTTGCACAAAATACACGAATTCTGACGTCTCCGTCTATTATCGACGAACGATCCCCGAGTTTGTTTTCCTAAGTTCCGTTTTCGAGGCTAAACCTACCGTGTCTTAACCCGTTGAACTCTCGAAGCCGAATTAACGCAAAATTTAAAATAGCTTTCCCGAGCCACGGTTTTTTCTATCTTATACGACCTGGTGCATTTTATGCGCGTGGAGCGCAAATATTGCGCAAATATTATAATATTATAATAATATATAATATACAAATATTATAATATTATATATAATAATATATAATATACTAATATTATATATAATAATATATAATATACTAATATTATAATATTATAATAATATATAATATACAAATATTATAATATTATATATAATAATATATAATATACTAATATTATATATAATAATATATAATATACTAATATTATAATATTATAATAATATATAATATACAAATATTATAATATTATATATAATAATATATAATATACTAATATACAAACTTGAATGATAAAATTATTATTGAGAGCTGACGGAACGATTTTTAATGGCGCCTCGGAGTCGTCACTCATGTGCAAAGGATTTTGAACGTGGCTGTCGCGTGTCACTTCGTAATAATGACAATGCTGAATGAATTTAGGCTTTTCGTTGTTTTCATTATGATTCGATGCTTCAGCGAAGAAATTTATCCGATAATTTCCTGTGAAACAGTTACAATTACAATAATTTTCAAATACAAAATGCGGAACTGGTCGTTCCTATCGGCTCGATGGATTTAATGTTGATCCATTCTCTCGCACAAAGAAGTTAAAGAATTAACCCTGATGATAATCGCACAAAATATCCTCCCATAGTTGTCGCCAACTCTGCGCATACGAATCGTTTTACAATTTAATTTGTTAATTGTTAATTTGATAATTAACAGTAGCTAGTTAATTTGACTAGATGCGTGCTCAAATTAATAACTTCGTCTTTTAAACGAATACATTAAATTCGAGAAATAAAATGTCTCGCACCGATTAAAATAGAGAACTGTGGTGTGAATCTTCGCGAGAAAACCGTGCGATCTCGCTGCGAACAGTAAATAAACGCGCAGAAATATACTATTATTGGATTGGCAACTAAGTAATTGCCGATTTCAGTTATAGATGTCTCTCACTCCCATTTTTATGATATCCGTAAATGTTATATTATAAAATTATTATTATTATTATTATTATTATTATTATGTTATTTTTTTATTATCCGTGAATGTTAGCAACTGGACAAATTGAATGCAGCGGTCAAGGAAAAGCGACCAGAATTGGTCGATCGTAAAGGTGTCATTTTCCAGCAGGACAATGCTAGGCCGCACACGTCTTTGTCCACTCGGCAAAAATTGATGGATATTGCTTGGGAATTGATGTTACACCCACCATATAGCCCTGATCTCGCGCCATCGGATTACCACTTATTTCGATCCCTGGACAACTCCCTTCGTGGTAAAACTTTTAACGATGACGACGCTGTAAAATCTCGCTTAACTCAGTTTTTGGCCGAAAAGGATCAGACTTTCTACGAGCGTGGAATTTTCAAGTTGTCAGAGAGATGGCAAAAGGTCATCGAACAAAATGGAAAATACATTACAGATTAAACTTCATTCCAAGTAAAAAAAAAATTTGTATTTCATTGAACAAATCGGCGATTACTTAGTTGCCAACCCAATAGAACGGAGGTTATCCGAGAAACTTGTGATCGCGAGATTTGAGATTAATTTTTGAACAATTCTACTGATTCAGCGGAACCTATTTGAGAAGGAGAAAACGAGACGAACGAGAGGTGTTCTGGACTTCCTATTCGGCAGATTCAAAAGTTGCGGCAACTGCGGTGAGTAAATCTCTTGTAAGCGTTACAATGATCCCGTGGATCATCGTAGATCTGTCCCGCGTTTTCGGATCGGTTCCTAACAGCATTCGCGTTTAATTGTTCGAACGTGTAAATTGTATACAGTGTGCGGACGACCGAATCGATCCGGCGAAGCGCGGCTTCTTGGCGGAGAGTACACCATAGCGCACGAGTTTCCATGGCTGGCGAACGTTCATGTGAGATCGCAATTGTCCTTCAGCGGGGTCCTGATCAATGATCGTTACGTTTTGACCGCGGCGAGCCAATTAGTCAGGTATGTTATATTATTATATCATAATATATGTATATATATATATAATATAATATATTATATTATAATTATATTATATATTATAATATAATATATAATATATATATATATATTATATTATATTATATATATTATATATTATTATATATATATATTATTATATATTATTATATATATATATATTATAATATATATAATATCATGATATGTTCTTGTTAAAAGTAAAATAGATACTGGAACTCGGGATATTTCTTCGATATTTTTAATCATTGACGTTAAGAGTTTCTTATATTCGTACTTCAAAAATAAAATGACGTAGAGATGACGTGTTCGTTTATATTATCATGCAGCATCGGAATTGAAGCTGTCATGTTAGCGACGTCAAACAACAAATTTCAATTTCCTTCTTAATTCGACCTCGAATGATCAACTTTTATATATTTTTCATCATCGCCGTCAGTTTTTGAGAAATTTAATTTTAAGGGATGTTTGAGAACAACGACGCGTTAAAAGCGCCCCGCTCTTTTTAAGCATTCTTCAAGGATATTTGTATGTTGATGATGTTGCAAATAAATGTACTGCAATGCTTTTAAGAGTCTGCAAAATTGTTCTGCGTAAAGTTATCGCGGTTATAGTATAAAAGAAAAAGGTAATTATGATCTATTCAGCGCATCGAAATCTATAAGAATTGCCTGTTTGTTATCGAAACGTGCATAAAATTATAGTTGAACGGTGTACACGTTAAAAATTACATGAAATATTAAATATATATAATATAATATATATATAATATAAAATAAATATATATATATAATATATAATATGTGAACTGTGAATCTTTGTGCTAAAGATAAAAATTCTCTTCGCCAATTGCAGATTACAACAAACAGAAATCGGGCGTAATATATTCATTCTCTCTTTAATAACTTCGTTCAGTTGAAAACAATGTGCATTCTTAATGCACAATGACATTCTTAAATATTTGTAATCTTTCTGAGATCTTAAATTGCGTCTACACATTCTTATCGTGAATCCATGAAATCCGCAACATATTCGTACGTTACGAATAGTTTATAAAAAAAAAACTTGGAAGCAGATCGTTCGTGTATTGTTAAAATTTGACGATAATCAAGACATCGTTTTAACAGCGTAACTCCGGCAGAGGTAAAAGTATCTCTTGGAGAATACGATAGATGCAGCCTAGACGTATCATCGGCGACGATCAGCGTGGAATCAGTGTCGCTTTACCCGGAATACAATCCTGACTCGCGCGCTCACGATTTGGCGTTAATCAAATTGAGTCAACCAATTAAATTTGAAAGGAGGATATCGCCTATCTGTCTGCCAAATCCAGGTGTGTACATATTAAGAAACCCAATATAAAGGTCGTAACGAAATAGGAATCTTTGCACTGTTGTGTTTAAATAAATAAATATATATATATAAATAATATATATTTTAATTATAATTTTAATTATAAATATATATAAATAAATAAATAAATAAATCCGTATTTATGAAGAATATACATGTAGACACACTGAACTTAAAATAACCATTTACGGAACGATCTCGATATATTAATTGTGACACTGCATTAAAGAATCAACGACACTGGCGTTTCTCTTAAATCGTCGCAAGTTTTGAGTTTTTTTAAGAATGGTTGTCCACAGTTAACAAAATCGAATAGAGATAAGGGATATAGGATGCAAAATTCTGAAAAGTATATACCCACGCAGTTATGAAACATGTTAATGTCCAGGTTCGACGTATCTCGGTCAAGTAGGGACCCTAGTTGGATGGACAGTGAGCAAAACTGAAGATAAGAGCAACAATGAAACCTGTCGACCACGAAAATTAGGACTTCCGATTTTAGGTCACAACGAATGCATTAAATCTGGAATAAATCCTATGAACTTCCACAAAGACTCCGGTTGTGCTGGTATTTTAGGTGGAAGTTCTATAGTATGCGAGGTAAGACGATTGTTTAATGAACCATATGCGCTTACGTTAAATTCTTTAATTCTTTAAACGCATCATATTTGCATTGTTTTTGTAATACAATACATTCTTCTTAGGTATTTATTTCGCTATTACCAATAATTGCATATTTGTTATTAAAATATGCGGGTACAAAGAGAGTATATTAGTAATAATTTATTATATTTATATAGTATATAGTAGTATAAATTTATTATACTACCATTAATTAGTAATAATAAAGAGAGTATTAATTAAAAACTGTTACTGTTAATTTGAGTAATCTTGAACGTATTTTTTTCAGAACGACGTAGGTTTCTCAATTCAATATCGTTCGTACACTGGAATTTATGATCTCGTTGGTGTGTATAACATTGTACACGTTATTTAATAATATAAGTTTGATGACAGAATAATATAAGTTTCACGACAGAGTGCAGTGTTAAAGAATTTTCTCGAAATATCATCTGCTAATGTTGAGCTTTACTCGTATGAAAACAAGATTGACAAGGATCTTATTGAAAAATTTACATATTGTAACATTTACATATTAACAATTAATACGTAACATTTACATATTACACATTTTTGCGACAGGTATAATTTCGGACGTAAATAAATGCGGCAACACACCTGCAGTTTCGATTTACACGAGAGTGGGTCCACATCTAAATTGGATATTACAGCAAACTAAAGACGCCTGTTACTGTCCTAAATAAGATTTATTTATTTGTAAATAGAATATTCAAGAATTGTGAATTTAAACTTCCGCATATATAACAATTTGAAAAGGATAACGTTCCATCTAATTACTAAAATTAAATACCATCGAACATTCCTTCTCCAATGATCAATGATAAAAATAGATCGCTCCATCAAAGCATTCCTAAAATCTTTTAATTATTGTTACTACGAGAATAAAGTTGAATATTCTTTAAAAGTCAACTTCCTCTATGGCAAATCTATTATTGAATGCAATCGATTTCCATAATATTGCAACAGTCCGCATAAATAAGTGTTTATCATTATGGTGGTTTAATTGCTTAACATTAACGTTCCTCGTAAAATACCACAAAGTGTTTTATCTATTGTAATTGAAAATAAACTTTTTGAACAAAGAACGAACGAGCAAATCTTTTTTTGTCATGCGTGATGCATGCTTGTAGAAAAAGGATCCTTTGAGCGACTTTATCGTACGAAATTTATTGAATATTTAATACTAAAGCTTACAATATTCTGATAGCGTAACCGTGTATAAGTGGACGGCATTTTATGTGGCAAATTAATTCGGTATAGTTTCAACATTTACAAACTCATTGTAAATATACGGCCAAGGCTTTTATGTCAATACATATCAACGCGTACAAATACGTGTATCCATTGTGAACTAAAATCGTCGCTTAAGTCTAGGATACATAAATAGGTATATTGCTTATTTTTAACACTTGACGTGAATGTATTTAAATGTAGTGGTGAACAACAATTGTCGTGTGAAGATTTTATTTCGAAATACAGCACTCGGTCGAGGATTAGATAGGAAATGAAAATTATAGCTGCTGTTACTATTTGAATGTGTACTTCATTTACAGGATCGCTTCTGATCGTGTAGGATGTCGACAAACACTTTCAGAGAATCATTTTTCAGAAGCAGATTAGAGTTAACTATTTCCGGCCACTTTTAGATGAACAACATTAACAAATTTTATGGTATTTGAATTTTGTATGCAACAACAGCTTTTTGAAAAGAAATTTGAAAGATTTTTACATACAATGTAATTCAAATAATTTTAAAAAGGAACTAAAGTTTCGAATAGTGTTTATATACGAATTCATTTATTGACGAAAATTTGATAGAAACACATGATATTTTTCTGTGTATTCGCGGAGAAAATAAAAATATAAATACACTGAAAATAGGAACGTACAAAAGTTTATAAGAAATTATTAATAATATATTAACGC